TAGGGCTGAGCAAGGAATCCGTGAAATCCGTAATCCGATCCAGTCCAGTCCAATCCGATAGGTTTGGATTGGTTTTTTGAATCCGTGGTTCGGTTCCGGATTGAAAAATTAAAAATCCGTAGTACACGGATTGGTTCCGGATTGAATCCCACGGTTCCGGATTGGAACCGATCCGGACCGTATACAAATAGTATATATTTTTATTATACATCCTCCCCCATAGTATCTTCTCTTATTCTATATAAAATCTAAACTCAAACCTAAAACCGTATAATATCTTCTTTTATTACTTTTGTTTGTTAGTTTTTAGTTTTAATTTGTAATGGTCTAAATACTTATGGTGAAACCAGTTTTCTTATGGTTGTTTAAATTCTAGCACAGTATGTCGCTATTATAGAAATAGATGTTGCTATTGTGGAACTAATATGACGATATGTTTATATTTTTATGAAATTAAAGTGTTATATATATTTTTTTGTTATTTAATTATGTGAATCCGTGGTCCTAAACCGATCCAATCCGTATTTAAATGGATTGGTTCGGATTGGTTCCATGATTTAAACGGATTGGATTGGTTCCAATTTTTCAAGAACCATAAATAACGGACTGGTCCTGGTTTTACCCCAATCCAGTCCAATCCGGACCATGCTCACCCCTAGCAATAATTTTTATTTTTATTTGATTATTTATATATATTTTTATTTATTTATAATTTATAATTATATTTTTTAATTATATAATATTAATTATGATGTCACGGTTCAACCGCTTTGACCCGACGATAAAGCGGTCGAACCGGTGACCCGTCCACCCAATCTCTTTTTCGATTCACTCACTGATTCAATTTTGAAAACATTGCTAGACACAGATTCATTTGCATCTCCATTGAACACAATCTCACTTGCACCTAAATAAAAATATAATTATTTTAACTTATTGTCATTTAAATTGTACACGTTATTAGGAATGGATTTTTATAATTATTTTAACTTATTGTCATTTAAATTGTACACGTTATTAGGAATGGATTTTAAAGGTAATAAAATTAAGCATCTCAATCAATTTTTTATATTTTTTTATTTTTTTAAACGTGGACTTCTTAGCTAAATTTGACTATTTAAGCTTCGTCAATTAATATGCTTGGTTTGTGAATGGGAAATTTTAAGTGGCCCTTAATTTGAGACTTTGATAATCAATCTTACCAATTTTTTCTCCAACCTTACTACCTTGCAAATTAATAAATAAAAATATTGTACAATGGCCATAAAAATTGTATTAGCATCTATTAGAGTTGGTTTGAGAAGTGCTTTGACTAAAATATGAGATGAAAAAAAATTAAAATATTTAAGAATAATTTTTTGATATTTTATATAAAAAAAAATATGCAAAAAAAATAAAACAAAATGAATAAATCTTCAATTTTTGAAATTTTTAACTCTATCCATAATTTTTTAACTAAAATATTTACTTCACAAACATCCCATATATCTACACCAGCGAGAAGTTATTAGTCGGTTTAAGAACAGCGTCACGTGGTGCTCCGCATGCATCGTGATTGATAGAGGGAATAGAGCCTACAATTTTATGTTGAATAATTAAGAAATATGAAAAGACATAATAATTTATAGTTGGTAAAAAATACCGTCACGTGATACCCTAAGACCATCTAATAATTTTTGGTGTATAGCATACACACAAAAATAAAAAATAAAAAAGAAGAAAAACACAACGGCTAGAGACAAAATCACTAATCTAAGAACATGTTCATAACTATAATTTAGGCAACTGTATACATATTGTATACATACATATTGTGTACGTGTATATTGGATTTTCCTAAAAAAAACACAAAAAAAATGAAATCAGAACACTTTTACTTTCTGCGGTCACTTTGTGTCCTTTTACAGTTTGCCACTGACACTCTACCAACTCAAGAGAACGAAATGGAAAGAGGACCCATTTTGGAGAGACAGAGGAGAGAGAGAGCAGGGGAGAATGTGTCTGAGTTAGAAAATGGGATGAAATGGCAGCTGGGGGTCTGCTATCACTGCTGATGATGAGAACCCCATTTCAAGATTTCTTTCTTTTTGGTAAGTTTCTTTGATCATTACCAGTTTTTGTTGTTTACCCAATTGCATAAAATTTATACCTTTGTCTTCCTTTAATTGGTTTCTTGATTTGATGTGAACACTCTCTGTGTTTTTGGAATGGTGGGTAGTTTTGGATATTCATCTTTTGCACTCCATTTTCTTTTACTGGTCCCTTTTTATTAAATCATTTCAGCATTTGTAATTGATCTTTGTTGTGGGTTTTGTTGATTATGTAATTTTCATGCTCTATTTTTCTGGGATTTAAGAGATCAACATATGCATTCCAAATATTTGTGTTATTGTTTGTTGCAAATTTTTATCTGATTATGTTCTTTATAAATACCACCCAAAAAATTGACATTTCTTCATCCTTTATGCTTACAGATTGGTGAGATGATGAGATCTGATTTACATTTCCTTTGGTTTTGGATCAGTGTTTCTCTGATATACTGGCTTGGAGGTCATTGAAGTAGGAGCTTCATTTGCAACCTAAAAACACAATAATACCAAAGAACAACCAAAATTACATCTTCAAAGCTACATAGCTGTTGATTTGGGCTAAACTGAGCATAGGTAATGTGAAATTCATGTATGAGTTTAAAATCTGCTCATCAAAGTTTCATTTGGCTTATATAAACTTATATGTGTTTCTGAAGAAGATTTTTCTAATATTTCCTTATATTTATGTGTTCTTGATGATCTTTGTGGCTAGGTTAAAGTAGTGAGAGATGCAGAGCTCCAAAGCCTCTTATAATTCAATCGGGACATGGTAGAAAGTATTGAATTTACCTGAGTTTTTATTGCTGGTGTAAGTACCAGGCCTTTGTAAGGTCAAAACCAGTTCTATTTTTGTTCATTGCTCGAGTTATGGCAACATTGTTACAGCCTGAGTCCAGGCGCTTGTATTCTTGGTGGTGGGACAGTCACATTAGCCCAAAGAATTCAAAATGGCTTCAAGAAAATCTTACAGGTATGGGTTTTGTCTCTTAATTTTTGTTGATCTCTGGTTTAAAAAATCATGAAATTATGGTAGTAGAAAGTAGATGCAGAACTCCATATCATTTAGAAGTAGAGCCCAATGATTTGACTTTCCAGAATTAAAAACAGGAAAAAAGCCCAAAGGATGTAAATTTCTATACTGCAAACTACCAAGGCAGGAGCATGTCAAGATTTAACTTTTAGTTTTATTAGGGTTTTGTTTCCTTATTGGGTTATTTCTAGTCTTTATTGGAATATTTGTTGTTTTTTTCTATTCTTTATGGGTAGAGAGTGGCTATATATATAGACTATGGGAGAAGAAACTTACGTTTTCCATGATTGAATATTTATTTGAGATTTCTGAACCCTAATTTTCTCTCTGCGGATCTTCTCTTCCTCATCGTTTTGTCTTGTCTTGCTCTTTCTTGTGCTCTTCTTCACTCTGGTTCTACACCACTCGTTCATAACCCATGAAAAGAATCAATGGTTGATTAAGTCTTTGTAGAGGTGAAAAGTCATTAACTTCATTTACGTATCCCTGAATGTTATATTTTCCTACTTTCTTCACTACCTTGTTGCAAGTTGAATTCAACTTGAATGAAACTCTTCTGTTTCAAAACAGTTTTTGGGGCCACTAGATTAACTCTCCCACATGTATTTGTTCAAACAGATATGGATGAAAAAGTTAAAGCAATGATCAAGCTTATTGAAGAAGATGCAGATTCCTTTGCAAGAAGGGCAGAGATGTTCTACAAAAAACGGCCAGAGCTCATGAAACTGGTTGAGGAGTTCTACCGAGCATACCGTGCCCTAGCTGAAAGGTACCACAGTGCAACAGGGGAGCTCCGCCAGGCCCATCGAACCATGGCAAAAGCATTTCCTGACCAAGTTCCTTTAGAACTGACTGAAGATTCGCTTTCGGGATCTTCTTCAGTACATGACCAAGATCATTCAATTTGTGCGTTGCTTGATCCAGATGATTTGCATAAAGATGTATTGGAGAGAATTGGACATGGGCCTTGTTCAAGAGAATCGGACACTCGTATTGGAAAAAAGGGTTTGGAGCTGCCAAATGACGTGTTTGGAGCAGGAATAGCACTAGAAAATTCAAAGCTGGCTGAAGGAACAATGAGACTTGAAGTGGAAGAGAAAGGAAAAGGTTTGGAAGAGTCCAAGCTTGCAGGTGGAGCCGAAACTGAAAATCAAAACTTAAATGAAGTCGATGCTGATAGGCATGCTAAAACGGAGGCTGTCCTTCAATACCAGCAGAGTATGGAAAAGTTGTCCAATCTGGAGAGAGAACTCAATCGTGCACAAATGAATTATAGTGGGATTGATGTACAAGCAAGTAAAGCTGCAAATGAAGTTCAAACACTAAAGGAAGCCCTCGTTAAATTAGAAGCTGAAAAGGATGCAGGTTTTCATCAACATAAGGATTATTTGAAAAGGATATCTAATTTGGAGTCTAGAATTTCTCAAGCTCAAGAGGATGAAAAAGGACTTCACGAGCGAGCTATTCGAGCTGAAATTCAAGCTCAATATCTAGAAAAAGATCTTTCCAGATTAGAGACGGAAAAAGATGATGGTCTTCTCCAGTATAACCTGTGCCTCGAGAAAATTTATGATTTGGAGAAAAGATTTGCGCTTGCCCAGAAGGAAGCTAGAATGCTTAATGAGAAGGCTGATAGAGCTGAAACTGAAGTAAGGAAACTGAAAGAAGCTCTTGCTGAACTAAATGAAGAGAAAGAAGCTTCAGCTCTTCAGTATCAGTGTTGCTTGGAGAAAATATCAAAGCTAGAGAGCGAACTCGCTCATGCCCAAGAGGATAGCAGACGCCTTAACCGTGTGGTTCTAATGGAGACTTCAAAACTGAAGAGCACTGAAGAAAAGTGTGTACTGTTGGAGAATTTAAATCAGTCTCTGCAGTTAGAGGCGGGTAATCTAGCAAAGAATATTGCGATGAAAGATCAAGAACTTTACAAGAAGCATGAGGAGTTGAAGAAACTTCAGGCTTGTGTACATGACGAGCATTTGCGTTTTGTGCAAGTTGAAGCCACTCTGCAAACTTTGCAGAATATGCACTCTCAATCTCAAGAGCAGCAGAGATCATTGGCATTGGAGCTCAAAAATGGGCTTCAAATGTTGAAGGATGTGGAAATGTGTAAACATGGTTTGGAGGAAGAAATACAGCTGATTAAGGATGAAAATAGGGTGCTGAATGAACTGAATTCATCATCCACCACTTTGACAGAGAATTTGCAAAGTGAAATCCGTAGCTTGCGGGAGATGAAGGAGAAACTTGAGGAGGAGGTTGGATTACAAATGGGCCAAACTAATTCCCTCCAGCAAGAAATTTACCATCTGAAAGAGGAAATCAAGAGCTTGAACAAAAGATACAAGGCGCTAATGGAGCAAGTGGAGTCGGTAGGTTTGAACCCGCTATGCATTGGGTCGTCGGTAAAGGATTTGCAGGATGAGAACTCAAATCTGAGACAGATCTGCATGGACAAGGATGAGAAAGAAGCTATTTTCAAGAAATTGGATCACATGGAGCGCCGTTTTGACAAGAATACTGTTTTGGAGAGCTCGCTGTCAGATTTGAGTGGTGAGTTGGAACGGTCACAAGAGAAAGTCAAGGCATTGCAAGAGTCTTGCCAATCGCTCAATGGAGAAAAATCTGCTCTTGTTGCTGAGAAAGCCGCTCTTCTGTCTCAGTTACAAATTATTACTGATATGTTGCAGAAACTCTTGATGAAAAACACGGTTCTTGAGAATTCCCTCTCTGCTGCCAATGCTGAACTTGAAGGTCTGCGGGAAAAATCAAAGAGCCTAGAAGACTTCTGCAAGTTGATTAATAATGAGAAGTCGGACCTTGTTACTGAAAGAAGCAATCTAGTTGTTCAGTTGGAAAATTTTGAACAGAGACTAGAAAGCCTCGAAAAGAGATTTGCAGAATTGGAACAAAACTATGCTGGCGTGGAGAGAGAGAAACAGTTCACTCTCTCACAAGTAGAGGAACTAAAGGTTTCTCTAGGTGCAGAAAAACAAGAGCAGGCGAGTTTTACACTGTCAAGTGAGGCCCGGTTGGCTAGTCTGGAAAACCATATTCAACTCCTGCAAGAAGAAACTAGGTGGAGGAGAAAGGAACTTGAAGAAGAACTAGATAAAGCTGTGAATGCCCAGTTTGAGATCTTCATCTTACAGAAGTTTATACAAGATATGGAACATAAGAATTATTCTTTGTTGATTGAGTGCCAGAAAAATGTTGAGGCGTCCAAATTGACGGAGAAATTGGTTTTGGAGTTAGAGGGTGAAAATCTTGAGCAGCAGGTGGAAGCAGAACTCTTGTTAGATGAAATTGAAAAGCTGAGGCTAGGAATTTATCAAATGTTCAAGGCTCTTGAAGTTGATCAAGATAATGAGTCAGATGATAAGATTGAAAATGAACAAATATTTGTGCATCGTGTTATAGAGAATATTGAGAATATGAAATGTTCTCTCTCGAATTATGACAATGAGAGGCAACGTCTATTGGTTGAGAACTCGGTTCTTTTAACTCTGATCAGGCAACTGAGATTAGAGGGCGTGGAAATCGTGTCAGAAAAGAAAACCCTAGATCAGAAATTCAAAATTATGACCGAGCAACTTGTGATGGTTCAAACTGATAATTGTGAACTGGTGGAGATGAACAGGCGGTTGAAATCAGAGGTGAACAAGGGAGAGCAACACGCAAATGCACTAGAGGCTGAAATGGAGAGGATATGTGTGCAGCAAGGAGATTTACAGCAGGCTTACCTTCAGTTACAAGAAGAAAATTCTCAAGTGCTTGAAGGAAACGGGCCTTTGCTGAAAAATCTCTCAGATCTGAAGGAGGAGAAATGCATGGTGGAAGAGGAAAACGAATTTATTTTCCTGGAAACGTTAACTCTCGATAACCTTTCAATGATTTTCAAGAACTTTGGGACTGAGAAAGCAGTGGCACTAGAATTACTTTCTGAAGATCTGCATAATCTTCATGGGATCAATGGTGACATTGCAAAGGAGGTTGGTGTATTGAGAGGGAAGTTGGAAATGGAAAAAACAGAAAATTTACTTCTAGAAGAATCGGTGAAGAAGTTGGAGAAGCAGCTCGATGAGGTCAGAGAGTTGAATAATCAATTGAGAAGGGAAATTTCAACTGGAAATGATTTCTTGTGTCAGAAGGAAATAGAACTTTCAGTAGCGGAACAGATGATTAAAGCTATTGAGGATTTGAATTCAGAATTGTGTGTAACTGTGGAGGGACTGAAGAGGCAACACGAGGATTCAACACTTGTGAAAGAAAATTTAGAAAAGCATATTCTAGAACTATCTGAAGAAAATACGGGTCAGAACAAGGAAATTGGATGCCTTCGTGAAGTTAATGGGAAATTAGAGTCCGAACTGAGAATTTTACGTGAAGAAATTGAAGAACATAGAATCAGAGAACAGAACTTGAGTTCAGAGTTGCAAGAGAGCAGCCACAAGTTTGAAGTTTGGGAGGCTGAGGCTGAGACGTTCCATTTTGATCTTCAAATCTCCACCATCCGTGAAGTTCTGTTTGAAAATAAGGTTCATGAGCTTACTGGAGTATGTGAAACTCTAGAAAATGAAAGTGCTTCTAAAACAGTCGAGATTGAGCAGATGAAAGAAAGAGTTAGCTTCATGGAGACGGAAATTGGAGGCCTAAAGGCTCGGTTATTTGCATATGCTCCTGTTATAGATTCTCTGAGCAATAACATAGCATCATTCGAGCACAATATTCTCTCTCAGCCACAGCTTAACGTAGCTAACAATCCGGAACCAAAGGTAATGTTTTGTCTTACTTTTTGGAATTTGACTGAGATGTTACTTTACTGAGTCAATAAAAAAGCTAAGTTGCATTAGGCTATGTTTGGATCTAGTATTTGAGCAGAGATTTGAAAAAGGAAAAGAGAAGGAAATGGTGACAATTTCACTTATATTTCATTCATGTTTCCTTTTCCTCCACAAATCCTTCTCCAAATCCAAAACCCAAACACAGCCTTAGGTGGCAATTGGAATCCATGGGTAATGAGATTTTCCTCGTTTCTTTTTACAATTATCAACTACCCTATATGTTCATAGCTTCTGTTATGTTCACTTCTTTGAAAAGTTATTCCCCTTTAAAAGGCTTCAGTAAATGAATTCATTTCTATTTGCTAATACATTTTGGTGATTGATTCCAATTACACGGTAACCTTCTTACTGTTATATCTATGCATTTCACTTGGTTTCTGAATAAATACCCATTTTAACATTTTATTGGAGAGAGATTTAAGAAATTCTGCTTGTTCTGGAACTTCTCTTTGAGTAGAAATTTATAGAAATCAAGCAAGCTGTGCCCATCTTGCAAATTGTTGCCAAGTTCTTTCCTTCAGCTGTTTTAGTTGAATATTCTATTTGTTTTAGAAAAATATTTTTCTAAAATTTGTTTCCTCTATTTCATTTCTAGGATGTGGAATTGTCTGTTCATCTCGATGAGAAAAGCTGTCAAGAACCGATAGAAGATCACAAGTCTGTGATGCCAAATGGAATTCCCGAATTGCAGGACTTACAGACTAGGATTAAAGTAGTTGAGAAGATAGTAACCGAAGAAATGAAAAGGCTGGCAGTGCAGGAAAGCTTCAACATCAAGCTAGAAGCAGCGTTGAAACAGATTGAAGAGTTGAAATCAAACTACAGCTTAAGAAAAGACAAACGAAAGGAAAAGATGGAGCGTGGGGGTGAGCTCGGTGACAACCTCAAGACCAAGAAATCAAAATCCGAAATTTCTGAAGTGAGGAATGGGATTCTGATGAAAGATATTCCACTCGATCACGTATCAGACAGTTCATTGGATAGAAAAAGCAGGAGAAGAAATCATGCTGGAGATGATCAGGTGCTCGAGTTGTGGGATACCGCTAAGGGCTCTAGCCTTGATCTCTTATTCAAAGAGTCACCGAAGCAGAAGAGTGAAGACCTCTCTACACCGTTACAAGCTGAAAAGGAATTGGGTGTCGACAAATTAGAGGTATCATCAAGTATTACTGAGCCAAATCAAGAACAGAACAAGAAAAAGATCTTGGCGAGACTTGATTCCGATGCTAAAAAATTGAACAGCCTTCAAACAACAGTGCAAGATCTGAGAAATAAATTGCAGATGAACAAGAAGAAAAAGGCGAAGAATGATGATTTTGAGAGCGTGAAAGAACAGTTGCAAGAAGTTTTGGAAACTATCACTCAGCTGGTAGAGGTGAATGGTCAACTGACAAAAAATGTCGATGGAAAGGCTTCAGCTGAGTTGGAGGAGGCAGAGAATGTCCAAAGAAAGAGAGTATCAGAACAGGCGAGAAAAGGGACAGAAAAGATCGGACGGTTGCAATTGGAGGTTCAAAAAATCCAGTATCTCTTGATGAAGCTAGAAGGTGAAAAGAAAAGCGAAGGGAAATACAGGTCTTCAAGGAGTCGAACAAGCATTGTATTGAGGGACTTCATTTACAGTGGGAGAAGTAGTCCGAGGCGGAAAAAGGATTGTCTTTATGGGTGTTTCAAACCTCCGACTACCGGAGGAGACGGTAACAATAATTAATGTGTGTTAATTCTATTAGTTACTAGTAAAATCACTCACTGAAATGTTGTTTATATTGTGTTTGAGAGATCATTCTTAAATTAGTTGCTTGTAAATGTTCATATTTAGTGTAGAGTGCTGTGTTTGGTTAGGAGATTTGGAAAGAGATTTGAAAATGGAAAGGGAAAAGGTAGGTGAAATGTAAATAAAATATATCTATATTTCACCGTTTCACATACATTTTCTCTTTCCCAAACACATTTGCTCTCTTTCCCTTTCCAAATCTTTTCGCAAATCCTCCAACCAAACACAGCGGAAGTGTATTAATTTATCTAATTTAAATAAGCTGCTCTTATGAGCCTCTGTTTTTGTCTTTAAACACTATATGTGGTACACTAGTTCTGCATATACAATAGTCGTGCTCTGATGAGCCTTTGATTAGTATTATTAGAACTTCTTGTGGTACAACAGTCCTGCATATACTGCATTGTCTAACACCAACAAGGGTTTAAATTGTGACACATTATAAAACAACACATGCTTTGAAAATCTCTGGCTCTTGAGGCTACAAAGCATGACATTGTTGCCCGGGAGTGGCTCTAGTCCATACCATAATCCACTAGCCTCCTCCGGATTGTGACACATTATAAAACAACACATGCTTTGAAAATCTCTGGCACTTGAGGCTACAAAGCATGACATTGTTGCCCGGGAGTGGCTCTAGTCCATACCATAATCCACTAGCCTCCTCCGGATTGTGACACATTATAAAACAACACATGCTTTGAAAATCTCTGGCTCTTGAGGCTACAAAGCATGACATTGTTGCCCGGGAGTGGCTCTAGTCCATACCATAATCCACTAGCCTCCTCCGGACCACTTCTCACCCTGGGTCGCGTGTCCAAAATCAGATCCAAGGGTTCACAAGCATGCACCACACGGGGCAAAATATGAAAGAAATTGAGAGGAACACACCATTCCCTTTTTCTCTCTTCTTCCTAAACCATCTTGACTCCTCCGGTGATACCCACTGCAATGGAAGTGATGGTGAATCTGAGAATGTTGATCTCAATCCTTGCAAGTTTCATTTTTTTAATGTTGTTCTTTATCTTTAAAGAACTACATTTTTCCAAGTTTTACTTTATTGTATAATATTTTATTTTCCAACATGCTGGAAATACTAACTAGTGTACTAGCAAATACCAAACCAAAGTAAGTCTTAAGTCCCATCAAATGGGATCGGCTACATGAATCTTCTTCTTCACGTGGCTCTATCAAAGGCCATTTCGGTAGTCAAATTAAGTAGATCCATATCTCTATTTACAACGCTAACCAACGTTAATCTAAGCCTACCCCGTCCCCTAACACTTCCATCTACCGTTACAGCATTGCATCTCTTCACTGTTGCCTTTGTAGGTCTCCGTTGAATATGACCAAACCATCTCAATCAATTCTCTCTCAACTTATCTTCTATCGGTGCTACTCTTATCCATTCCCGCATACACTCATTCATAATTCTGTCCTGTCTTGTCTTGTCTTGCCACACATCCACCATAACATTCTTATCTCAGTCACACTCATCTTATCTACATGTTGTTTCTTGGTTGCCCAACACTCCGTCCATACAATATCGCTGGTCTAATAACCGTTCTATATAACTTACCTTTAAGCCTAGTGGGTATTTGTCTATCACACAGTACTCCAGACACACTTCTCCACTTGCACCATCTCGCCTTAATCTTATGGGCCACATCTGCATCAATCTCCCCCGCTGTTGTGATAATCGACCATAAATAACGAAAATGTTCACTCTTAAGCAGTTCTTGGTTTTCAATCTTCACTTCTCCTCTGCTTTCATTGTTACTATTACTAAATTTACACTCCATGTACTCTGTCTTAGTTCTGCTTATCCGGAATCCTTTAGATTCAGGAGCTTTTCTCTAAATCTCTGTAACAACCCTCATACTGTTTACTGATTAATGACTGACCGATTACTGTTAAACGAAACTGATAATGACTGATAACTGACTGATAATTTACTGTATTACTGTTCTGCAGGCCTTCGGTAATCTCGGATTACTGGCCGGTTACGGTGCTAAACCCATAGGGTCGGGTTTGGGTCGTGACAATCTCCAACTTTGTATTAAGTCCTTCTCTAGTCTCATCCACTAGCACTATATTGTTTGCAAAAAACATACACCATGGCACGTCATCCTGGATATTTCTCGTCAACTCATCCATAATTAAAGTAAAAAGATAAGGACTTAACATAGATTCTTGGTGTAACCCTACAGTGATAGGAAATTTATTTGTCTCTTCAGCAGGCGATCTAATAGTGGTCACCACCCCTTCATACATGTCCCTAATCACATCAATGTAACCTTTTGTCACCAATTTCTTCGCTAACACCCACCATATTATATCCGGGGCACTCTATCATATGCTTTCTCAAGGTCGATAAACACCATATGAATGTCTCTTTTCTTTTCTCTATACTTTTTTATTACTCTTCTCAAAAGATAGATCGCTTCCATTATTGACCTGCCAAGCATAAACCCAAATTGATTCTCTAACATCTCTGTTATATCTCACAATCGACATTCTATCACCCTCTCCCACACTATATGACACATTAACTTGATTCATCTATAGTTGTTACAATTCTAGACATCTTCTTTATTCTTATAGATTGGCACTAAAATACTCTTCCTCCACTCATCTGGCATGTTCGTAGTCAACAAAATTTTGCTAAACAACCTAGTCAACCAAGCAATCCCCTTTTTACCCAAACACGTCCAAGCTTCAATAACGATATCATTTGATCCTAAAGCCTTATTTGATTTCATCTTCTTAAGTGTAATCTTCACTTCAAAGTTCTTAATCTTGCCATAGAACTTATAGTCTTGGTTTATCGTATTACTGGCTATTTCTTCCCCTATTGTCGTACCTCCATGTTCCTCATTTAATAGTTTCTCAAAATAGTTTCTATTTTTCCTTAATCTCTTCATCTCTCACCAATACCTTAGAATTTTCTCTCTCGTATCTTAGCAAGTTTGTATACCCTCTTCTCTTCCTCCTTACTATTTAGTCTAGTGTCTAGGTCATCATAAGCTTTCAATTTAGCCTTTCTCACTACTTTTTTCACCTCCTTATTAGCCAATCTATAGCTCTTAAGGTTTTCTCAGTTCTATCATTTTGTCACTTTTTAAAGCACTCTTTTTTTATCTTAACTACCGCTTGAACCTCTTCCCTCCACCATCAGGTTTCCCTAGAGCTGGGTCCCGTTCCTTTCGACTCTCCAAGCACTTCCCTTGAGATTCTCCTCATACAATTGGCCATAGAGTTCCACATAGTGTTAGTATCATCTTCCAAGTCTCAAGTACCTTCCTTATCCATTTTATTCTTAAATATTTCTAATTTATCTCCTTTTAGGTCCCACCATCTCGTCCTACGACGCCCACCATCCTTCCTAACTTGGTATTGCTCTCTAAAACATAAATCTAGTACCAAAATCCTATGTTGAGAGGTCAGGTTCTCTTTAGGAATCACCTTACAATCATTGCATTTTAAACAGTCCACTTTTTTTACTAAGAAGTAATCTATTTGGCTCTTAACTGACATACTCTTAAAGGTTATCAAATGGTTCTCCCTCTTCTTATACATAGTATTGGCCACCACTAGGTTAGAAGCCAACGCAAAATCTAAGATACTCTCTCCAGTCTCATTTCTGTCACCAAAACCGTGTCCACCATGCACCATTTCATAGCCTAGTTTATCTATGCTTACATGGCCATTAAAATCTCCACCTATAACCAGATTCTCTTCTACGGGTATCCCCTGTAAGATCTCATCCATTTGCTCCCAAAAATCCCTCTTAGTCTGATCATCTAATCTTACTTGAGGGGCGTATGTACTAATAACGTTCACTATATTCCCTTCAATAACTAGTTTAACTAACATAATCCTATCCCCTTTCTTAATGACCGCCACTACATTCTCCACAAGAATCTTGGCAATTAAGATTCATACTACATTCCTGCGTCTATCCATACCACTATAATACAGTTTAAAATCGGTATTCTCAATTTTCCTAGCTTTCTTACATGTCTACTTAGTTTCTTGTACACAAGGTATACTAACTCTCCTCCTAATCATAACATCTACCAGCTCTATCGTCTTACCAGTTAAGGTTCATATATTTCAAGTGACTAACATTGTGTATAATAAAAAAATAAAACATAAAAACACAGGTTTATTCACTTAACGTGTATTCCACCTAACATCGTGTCCGCTTGATATGATTGTTGATATATTAGTTAAGGCATTTTAAAGTTGAAAACTTTCAAGTTGTCTCACGCTTAGGAAATAATGAAACATAATGGTGTCGTTTGGTAACACTTACGTTTTTAGTTTTCTGTTTATATTTACAAAAATTTTAAAAACTCAAATAAAAATTTGTTTGGTAAAATTTTTAATTTATAAATCAGTAGTCTCAATTTATAAATTTGGCCAAAAAATCAAGACACAAAAAATGTGTTTCCATTTTGAGTTTTCAGTTTTTTTTTTTTTACCACCCAACACTCGCCACCACCCGCCACCATTTTCCACCACCATCTTTCGCCACCACCTGCCACCCACTCGCCGCCACCACCTACCCCTCGCCACCGCCACCACGACCACGACCACCACTACCCACCTGCCATCCACCCGCCACCCACCACTACCATCCACCGCCCGCCACCACCACCCACCACTTACTTGCCACCACCACTGACCACCCACCTGCCACCACCATCCACCCCCTGTGTAATGACCCAAATTCATGTCTTAGTCATGTTCATGTACATTTGCATATTTTTGTTTTGAAGAGCTTGCATTTGCAGAACTTTGACTTGTTTTGCCTAAGTGAGATCCATGCCTTGTTTTGATGCCGTTGTGATTTGTCTAAGTGTTGTGTGCTTGCTTTGGTCCTTCCTTGATGTGAAGCCTAGGTCACGCCAAGCCTAAGTTATGTTAGCCGATGTTATGCCAAGCCTAGGTTATGCTAAGCCTAGATCATTCCACGCCGAGGTCATCCTCAGTCTAGAAGTACCTTTGCTTTGACATATTGGCCGAG